ACGTCTTCAGACAGTTATTGGACAGGTATAGCCTACCGATCCTGGACCACTTTGCATCACAGGACAACAACCAATTCCCCAGGTGTTTCACGTGTTACGTGACACCGGGCGTGGAGGACGTAGACGCACTAAGGTGCAGGTGACCCCAAGTCCTCCTATACACATTTCCTCTGATCCCTCTGATTCAACATGTAATTTAGAAGATGTTAACAGAGCTGATTCTCCTAGCTCCTTACTGGCCCCGCAGACCTTGGTTTGCGGACTTGCTCAACCTATTTGTGTCAGCTGCCCCAGATTAGCTCTCTGCTCCTGCAGGGGTCATTCAAGCATCCCGACCTTCCTTGGCTTTGTCTCACCACCTAGAGATTGAGCGGGAGACTCTAAAGGCCACCAATCTCTCAGTTGAGGTCATCCAGATGAGTCAGGCCTCCAAGCACTTGTCCACTAACCACATTTATGATGCCACTTAGACACAATTCTCCACCTGGTGCCAGCGACAAGGTTTTGCCCCCTTGCAGGCTTCCATGTCAAAACCGTTATTCAACCAACCGCTTATCCGGCGATTTCTCAAGGGTGCTACCAACCTTAAGCCCCCTTCTGTCCATAGATTCCCTTCTTGGGATATCTCCAAAATTCTGGACTCCTTAACACAGGCCCCCTTTGAGCCTCTGCAATCGATCACTTTGCATTATCTCATGCTGAAGGTGATTTTTCTTGTAGCGGTCACCACAGCAAAGTGGATCTCCGAGCTGGCAGCCCTGTCAATAAGGCAAGACTTATGTATCTTCCATCCGGACAGGATTGTTCTCTGCTAGACCCAGCATTTATACCCAAGGTAAACTAGGTTTTTCACAGATCCCAAGAGTTAGTGCTTCCCGACTTCTGTCCTAAACCATCACATAGACTTGAACATAGGTGGCATTATCTCGATGTGCAACGTGCTCTCAGAGTGCATATCAAGAGAACTTCTGACTTCTGACATTCGGAAGCTCTATTTTTCCTTTTTCAGCCGGGAGGTAAGAAGGGATACAAGGCCTCTTCTACAGACATTGGATCCTGGGTTCGGGCAGCAATTTCCAGAGCCTACACTGCTCTCTCTCTTCCAATTCCACCCCACATCACGGAATACTCCACCTGCAGTGCGGCCACCTCAGCCGCCTGGTCATCCCAGGCTCTGTTGGAGGAGATATGTAGGGCAACCAGGTGGACTACTCCATCCCCATTCATTCGCCACTATAGACTTGACAGATATGATGCGGCGGAGGCTGCATTTGGACGGCGAGTATTACAATGGGTTTGGTCCACTCAGGTCCCCTGCCCAGTGGGGACAGATTTGGCTTTGGTATGTCTGGATGATGTCTCCACCTACTAGGAGAATGGGTGTTGGTTACATACCTGATACGCCCCTTCTCTGGTCGGTGGAGACATCATCCAGCCCCACCCTGTTGCCATGTTCAGACTAATATATATTTCTTTTGTTAACAAGGAGGGATCATACCTTTTTTCTTGAGTATTAAGATACAGCAGTCTACAACTGCACCTTCGTCTGAGCTGGGAGGAGCTACCATGGAGGGCGTGACTCATTAACTGGTAGACTCAGTCCTATTGGATTCTGACAGAGTTAACCCATGTCTGGATGATGTCTCCACCGACCAGAGAAGGGGCATATCAGGTATGTAACCAATGCCCAATCTCTCATAATCACTGAGAGTTTATGCAAAGACAAATCCCTAGTTATCCAATCACACTTGGCCAATAATGAATTCTATTCTATTCTATTGACATTTTGGCTTATTTCACATACCACGTTGAAATCAATTATTGAATTAAACCACATTTCTTCATCAGTATGATACATCAAACATACATTAACCAAATAAGGTAGATTACTGCAACACACTGTCACAAAAACGTAAGCAAGATTAAAAACTAAAGATGAATGCCCCCACTTCCATCCTCGCTCCACCATCTATAGGGCCATCTATAAGGCCATCTATGAGTGCAACCAAGATTGGATTGGAGTGGATAATCAGCTTCCTCCAGGGTTCTCTGCAGCTGTAGACTGACCAATTTTTCAATATCTTTTCCCAAAAAACAAAGATTGGGGATAGGGTGATGATTATGTAACGTTGCTTGGTCAAAGGACAGTCTCTTGAATATAAGGCGGTGATGGCTAACCTTTTTGTCATCACCCATAATGCATTGCACATGTGACACACCCGCCCCATGCACATGCGCACATCACCACCACCACCACGCATCCCCCTTCGGACGAACTGGTAGTAAAAAAAAATGCTGAAAGAAGTAAAACAACAGTTCTGACGATCATCTGTGCGACAATCATCTGTGCTACCTGATTTCTAGCATTTTTTTTAACTACCGGTTGGGGCGGTGATACCCTTGCTACTCTTCTATTTGGAGGAATCATCTTCAATGCTCCTTCATTTTAGGTAAATACTTCATGAAAGTATGTTGCTGAGCAAAACTATGAAAAAGGAGACATGAAAAGTAACTAAGAACAAGCGACAGGAGGGTCAAAATCCATTACAGCAGATCATGCTCTGGCTACTCTGGGGATTAACGAGGAACTGCACAGATCTTCAATGGGGAAAGTTGCATCCCAGCCTCTATTACATCCTCCATGTTAAATGCTTTTAGCTCTTCCGGCCGCTGGAAGGTAAACGTTTTCATAAGGTTGGTGAAGAAAATGAAGAGCTCCATCTGAGCCAAAGTCTTCCCCAAACATTCGCGGGAGCCTAAAAAGAATAAAGGGAAGATCATGAAGATGCAGGCATGAACCACTACCAAAGCCGATTGAGGTTATAACCTAGATCAGGAGTGTCAAACTCAAGGCCCGGGGGCTGGATCTGGCCCAAGCGTGTTGTAGCCTGCCAGGAGCAGCAGAGTCGGATAGTGAGGAGGTTGGGGAGGAAGATGGGCCAGTCCTGGAGTCTGGGGGAGGCTCTGAGGAGGGCTCTGTGTTGGAGGCAGAGAGGGGGCCAGAGTCGTAGAACAGCTGGAGCCTGTTCCCAGTGTGCGCATGCGCAGAGTTGCCAGACAAAGGGAACAGCTAAAGAATAGGGGTCGACTTGGGAGTAAGGCCACAGGGGGACGATGAATGCCCCCCCAGAGGAAATTAAAGAGGAGCGAAAGGGGAGTTTTCAGGAGACAATTAGTTCGCTTAATTGGTTCGTGGCTCTCCAAGACTCCTTGCCAAGTTTTTCAGATATCGGCCTGGCAGCTCTCCAAGCCAGAGAAGGTCTGTGACTGCAAATCCTCCCTTGAAAGACTTTGCTGGATGTGAATGAGCAGAATTCACGTAAATTAATAAAATGGATTTTTGTCGGGACAAGGAGTTTGCTTCCTGCTCTTGGGAAACCTCGGTCAGAACACAGGGTGCCTAGATCTGGGCCGCGGAGCCGCCATGGAAACAGTGAAGGACTGGCCTGCTGCGCCTCTGCCAGCGAAAACAGAGCTTGGGAAAGCCGCGTGTGGCCGTTGTGAGCTCCATTTTCACTGGCAGAGGATTGCAGGAGGCCGTTGCAGCCAAAAATGGAGCTCGGGAGCCGTTTTCGCTGGTAGAGCTCTCAAGCCACCACGGGCATGCCCGACATGAGTAATATTGAGAGCTGGCCATGCCCCCCCTGGCCACACCTACCCCAAGCCCCTGAGGTGAAACACAACGCACAATGAAAATGACTTTGACACTTCTGACCTAGATGCAGATTGGCAAGCATTTTTTTTTAAAATAGCACTTGACGATTGCACTTATATAGCGCTTCGCACTGCATAACAGCCTTCTCTAAGCAGTTTACACAGTCTGCCTATTGGTCCCAACAATCTGGGCTGAGTCTACTTTGAGCTGGTTCTCAGGCATGGAATGAGCAGGTTAAAAAAAAAAAAAAGCCAATTAATTGTGAAAAACTCCGTGCAGTACAATTAGTCCTTGACATGAAGCCAGCCCATTAGGATCGTATGTCACAATAATCCTAAAATGGGTTGGTGGAGTGACTGATCCCGATTTAATGACTTTTGTGCCGCGACTATTAAACAAATCACTGACCCCATAATCACTGGGATGATGTGATTACTGTGAATAAAATTCAGAGTCATCAAAACTTTTAGCTATAGAAACCCATCACAGATCCTTTGCAAAGCCTAAGGGTTGTCCAAGTGCCAAAACTATGGTTCAAAGCGGCTGCTAAAGTTTGAAGATACCCCGTGTTTCCCCGAAAATAAGACAGGGTCTTATTTTCTTTTAAAACCCACCCACCCCCCGAAATAAGCACTTGGCCTTATTTTGGGGGTGGTCTTATTCTTTTTGAGGAGCAGGAGGCGGTGAGTGTGGTCACCTCATGGCTGCTGCTGTAGGGCAATATTTTCAGGGAGGGCTTATTTTCAGGCGGAGGGCATATTTTATTGCATGCACTCAAAAGCCTGATTGGGCTTATTATCCGGGGAGGTCTTATTTTCGGGGAAACAGAATATATTGTCGGTGTATTTACCTGCCCCAAAGGTAAGGAAATCTTCTCTGGGTACAAATTTCCCATCTTGATCCAAAAAGTGGTTAGGGTTGAACTGTCGAGGTACCTCCCATTGTTCGGGATCCAGCAGAACGGAGCAGAGATCAGGGATCACCAGGCTACCCTGGAAGAGGATAACATTAACTGCTGTTTTTGCAAAGCATGCTTAGCCTAACCTGATGTCCCAATTGATTCACTCTCCCTCCCTCTTCCTCTCTCTCCCCCTCTCTCCACTCTCCCCCTCTCTCCCCTCTCCTTCTTTCCCTTTCTCTCTCTCTTTCTTCCTCTCTCTTCTCTCCCTCTCTCTCTCTCTTTCCCTTTCTCTCTTCCACTCTCCCTCTTCCCCCCCTCTCCCTCCTTCTCTCTCCCCCCTCTCTCTTTCCTTTTCTCTCTTCTACTCTCCCTGTTCCCTCCTCTCTCTTCTCTCCCCCCCTCTCTCTTTCCCTTTCTCTCTTCCGTTCTCCTTCCCCCCTCTCTCCTTCTCTCTCCCTTTCTCTCTCTCTTCCTCTCTCTCTCCTCTCCCTCTCCCTCTTTCCCTTTCTCTCTCTCTCCCCCTCTCTCTCCTCTTCCTCTCTCTCTTTCCTTTTCTCTCTTCCGCTCTCCCTCCCCCCCCACTCTCCTTCTCTCTCCCTTTCTCTCTTCCTCTCTCTCTCTCTCCCTCTCTCTCTCCCCTCTCCCTCTTTCCCTTTCTCTCTCTCTCTCCCCCTCTCTCTCCTTTCCCTCTCTCTCTCTTTCCCTTTCTGTCTTCTGCTCTCCCTCTTCCCCCCATCTCTCCTTCCCTCTCCCTTTCTCTCGCTCTCTCCCGCTCTCCCTGGGTGGGGAGGGAGGGGAAAGAGGTGGTTAGGGAATATGATATTAACCCCCTATGTTCCTCTCGTTGCAGGACCCAATCATCAGTTGTGGGGGCAGCAGCCTGTCAGCCCTGGTGGCCATTTTTTTCTTTGGATCTTCAGGGCTGCCACACTTAGTGCTGTGGGAAACTGAGAGGAGGAGATTGCAAGGTGTTGCAGGGAATACCTAACCATAATAACATTCCTTTCTCAGACTCAAGGCCACCTTGCCCTGCACCTGGAGGGGCGTGACCGGGAGGTATCTCCAGTTGGGACGGGGCATTGATTGCACCATGGGATGGACATGTGGGTGCAGGGGAAGGGACTTGGGCTTTCTTTTGGGTGGGGAAAACCTGGGAACTTTCAGATTCCCAGATGGGCCAATAGGACATCTCTCATAAAATAAAACTTTGAGGAACTTCTAGCCTCAGAGTCTTCTTTCATTGGGGGTTTTACTTGGAACCCTAACACTGGGCTCACATGATTCTCTTTTGCAAACTTCTGACCCACGAAGCCAATGGGGAAGTCAGATTCACTTAAAAACCGCAGCGAATCACTTAACAGCGGTGGCAAGAAAATTTGTAAAATGGGGAAAAACACGCTTAACAAATGTTTCACTCGGTGACATAAATTTGGGGCTCAATTGTGGCCAAAACTCGAGGACTACCCATACAAACTACCTTCATTGGCATGTCCTCAGGATGCCCACGGCTGAGGCACTTAAAGCTGCCCTTAGCCATTCCAATTTCAAAAAATAAATGTTTTTTTTTCCTCTTTGCCCAATAGGACCTTTGCTGTGGGCATGACCTGGCATGATTCCTTGGCCCCTTCGTTACTAACCTAAACAAAACTTGAAGAGTTTTTAAGCAAAGCTTAAGAGGTTTTAAACTACTGGCGGTTTTAAAAACACAATTGGACAATTATTTGTCTGAAATGGCATAGGGCTTCCTGCCTGTGCTTCAGCAGGGGGTTGGACTAGATGACCTCCAGGGTACCTTCCAACTCTGTTATTCTGTTATCCACTCCTATTGGTCACTTCAGGATCCTGCATTTATGTCTCCCCCTTCCATATTGTCCTAAAGGAGTATATGAATCAATATGAATCAATATTGGCTATTTCCTTTTACTATGAATTGCTTATGTTACTATATAATTGTTACTGATTAAACCAATATTGGCTGTTTGCTTCTGATATAATATACTGCTAGAAATCATTTATTAAGAATTAAGCTTTGTTATTGGTTTCTGCTTATATTATTGCAGACTGTCAGAAATTAGTTGTTTTCTAG